AGCTCCTCCAGAAGCAAATAATATGTGTTTTTCTGCTCTATCAGTTTCTGCAGGGCTGTTGAGTTTCACCAGCTCACGGATGGATCAAGCCCCGGAGAGGGCAAACAGAAGGCAGGGGAATACATAGCAAAGAGCAGAGAGGAAAATCCCCAACCAGGGACACAAACCCACATCGCCACTACTGCACAGCAAATGGGATGCTGTGCTCCGGCTGGAGACGGCCTCGTATCTTCTGTAAACGAGCAAAGGCAGCTCCTGGATTTTAGGAGCTGGTTCAGTTCCAGTTCACTTGTGCATCAATGACCACTGCAGCACTCCAGGGAAACTCTAAATCCTGTCGTGTTCACAGCTAGAGAACAGCACAGTCTGCTCGTGGCATGCAACCCAGCAAGGGAGAGCTCCTACCAGTTTCCCCAAAGACCCACCTTTAGCACTGCGGTGAGCGGGTACGGCACAGCATCCACTGCAAAAATCCTGCAAAGACACAGGAGAGCCCAACATCCCTACTGCACCATCAGAAATAAGATGTTGCATCATTGAAGTCATTGCCTTTGATCAGCACGCATGAGGAGGACACACTGTCCAGCAAGTAGAGTCTCATTTAATCCGAATTACGGAGTCAACACACTTTTGCAATTACATCCTCAGCCAGGTGGTCAGAGGTTTTGTCATATCAACTGCGGCCCAAGATTGTGGGTTACTTTCATACCAAGTTTTTACTAACACTTACAGATTTCCACATCTCCCTGTCACTTCCCTGCCTTTGCTTCTATTACAAATCCAGAAGAATCAGCACAGAGGAAATGCTGTTTGGTCTTTTATTTTAAAAGGTATCATCTCTTCTGTAGCATTTGCAATGCAAATGATTCCCCATTTTGCTAGCAGATGAGACTGGGGATCCTAACCGGGTCAATCTATCTGCACTGCTCAAACAGATAAACCTAGGAGCTAAGCCTGCTCTTATTAGGGATCTGCCCAGTGTTGACGTGGGTTCACAAATAACCACGGAAAGGCAGAAAATTCCATGAAGAGTTATGACAAAACTCTGCATAATCCAGTGTCGGTAGGAAGCTCAATAACTTGTTGTCATTCCAGATTACTTATACTGCCATAACCTGTGATTTCCTACTTCAGAAATTTGTAGCTGCTTTATTGCCCACTGAGGAACCCAAATACGCGAGAGGAAATAGCTCAAAACTAACAGCAATGAAAAATACTCAGGTAAAAGGGTTTTCTGTGGCTTTCCAAGGTACAGATAGTGGCACGCTGAAGCTTAACCCTCTAATGTTGATGATGTATATGGCAAAGTATCCAAAAATAAAATACAACCTGAGCAACAGGGGGTTTGTGAAAGAGGACAGTAAACTGAAGATCACACACAAGCCCAGGAAACCAGTGACCTAACACCAGCTTTGCAGTTGTATCCCAGGGGCTTTACATCCCCTCTTTCTGCCCCAGTGTTCCCTCTCCATAACGCGTGGAGAAGACGAATAGAGCATCACATCGCTCCCAGGATACAGCCAGGATAATATTCAAGGCATGAGGTGCACAGATCATGAAAATAAGCAGGTGAGTGATTGTTGAGTTAACCCTCTTCATGGGCTATTTGTAGAACCTCTAACCCTAAATCAACTTTGTTTCATTGAAACAGGGATGTAAGATATTGCCAAGAGTCTCCGCTGCCGGAGTCACTAGCTGATAGTGTCACTGGGATGTGGATGACAATGTCCTGAGTGAAACTGTACGCTATGGACATCAACACGCATTTGCCAACGACCCCTTCTCCAGGCACAAATGGACATGCAAATAGTCAGCTCCAGCAGAAATTCCTCTTTTTTCCTACAGAGCTGTCTGGGACTTTTGGCTAGAGAATATAACAGCAACAGTCTCTGCCTTCAGAGGGTCTTTCATCTTTCCAGTTTCTTCTCATCATTAGTCCATTCAGATACATCCTGTGTCCTTCACTGCTCCATAGCTGCAAGCCCACCAGCAGCCTGCTGAGCACTGTGGTCAACACCTGTGCTACAGCGTTTGTTTTCTTCAGCCTCTCCCCAGGAATTATTCCAGCCAAGGACGTCAAACCACTGTGCAAAACAGAACTTAAAAGCTTCCCTCTGTGAAGAAGATATCATCCTTACCACTAACAAAGGGAAGCCTGATGCACAGAGCTGCGTTTTTTATAGAAGATACACATTTATATAATATTCATGTTTTGCCCCAAGCAACAAGAGGCTTTCAGGAGAGCCAGACAGAGGTCTCCATCTTTCGGTCACCAAACACGTTTGAATCCAGCACAAAGGAACAGGAGCCTGCAGGCTTCTGAGTTTTGTTTTAAATCACAAGTATCATTACAGCCAACGTGGGCTGACCCCACCGCGGAACGAGGAAGATGAACTACCTAATGAACCGCACTCAGCCCTGGCTCTGGTGCTCGCTCTAAATCATATGTCAGACAAGCATGGTCACAAAGCTCTCCTGTACAAAGCCTTGAGTTCAACAGGATGTCTGATGAGTGGCTTTGATCAGTTATTGATCACGACCATTATTCCTGGACTGAAGGAACAGCAAAGTGCACGACATGGCCTTCTCCATGACCCTCTCTTGTAGCAGCATGTCTCCCAGTCCTCAAACAGAACTGCACTGCTGCCTCGCTGCTCCTGCTCCCAGCACGTGCTTTGAGGACGAGGATCCTTAACAAAATAATAAAATTGAACGTTGTTGTGGTTTAGCCCAACTGACAGCTAGAGGTCACTTGCTCATGACAGGAGAAAAATATAACAAAAGGCCTGAGGGTTGAGATAAGAACAGGGAGGGATCACCTACCAACCAGGTAAAATGGACTCAGCTTGGGAACTAGTCACTTTAATTTGTTAACAGCTACTTGAGAAGATAACAAGAAACAAAGCCAGATCTTAAAAACACCTTCCTCCTACCCCTTCTTCCCGGCTCTACCTCCTCACCTAGCGCCGCAGGGGGACAGGGAACAGGGGGTTGCAGGTCCGTTCATCACACATTGTTTCTGCTGCTCCTTTCTTAAAGGAGGAGAACTCCTTACACTCTTTTTCCCTGCTCCAATGGATCGCCTCCTCATGGGACAGTCCACAGACTTCTCCAACATGAGTCCTTCCCCCAGGTTGCAATCCTTACCCATCAGATTGCTCCAGTGCAGGCTTCTTCCTCACAGAGTCATGGCTTCTTAGAGTACAGCCACCTGCTCTGGTGTGGGGTCCTCCACGGATTTCAGCTGCATCTCCGCCTTATTGTCAGCCTCCAGCAGCATGGGATCCTTCCCTCTGAGATAATATATGGCCTCTCTCAGGCATCTCTGCTCCAGCACAGGGTTCCCCATGGGCTGTGGGTGAGTTTCTGCTCCACCGTTAATCTCCCCGGGGTCAGGGAGGCCACCGGCCGTCTGCCACAGGCTG